TTCAGCCTCCCAAGCGCTGGGACTACAGGCACATGCCACCACACCCAGTCTGTCCCTGTCTCAGCATATCCTGGGGGCGGGGCCAGCACAGCACACCAGGATTGAGCCCAGTCTGCCTAAACAGGCACTTTAATCTGCTGAGCTGTCTGGTTGGCCCTAAATCCCAAATTTAACAAACTCCACTACCTTGTTTCCTGGCTGTCATGATCATTCTTAAAAACAGAGGTTTTTCCAGGAGTGGTGGTGCATGCCTGTAACACCAGCACTCTGGAGGCTAAGGCAAGAGGATTGCTGCTAGTTTAAGACCAGCCTGGGCCACAAAGTAAGCTCAAGGCCAGCCTGAACTGCATAGTGAAACCCTGTCTCAAGAAAAGAAAAACACAGTTGTTTTATTTTTCTTATATAGTTAATAGCTGGCATGGGTACCCATTCATATATGTACTTGCTTCTGAAAGTTACAATTACTTCTTTCCCCCACCCCCTTTTCTAAGAGTTCTCCTTATTAGGAGCTAAACTAGATAGCTAATTATATGCATGTTTCCCCTATCATTTCTAGATATTTTGGAGTTGAAGTGTTTTCAGGTATTTAGTTTTGTTTTTTTATGATGTTACTTTTCTTGCCCGCAAACTTTGAAGCTTTTATAGGCCTGGTGAGCTAGCTCAGCAGACTAAGTCCCTGCTTAGGCAAAAGCAGCGACTTGGGTCCAAGCCTCTGCAACACATGCCATGCTGGCCCTGCCCCTGGGCGCACTGAGCTGGGCACCGAGACCTGGCGTGGCGGTGCACACCTGCAATCCCAGCTGGGGAGGCGGAAAGCAAGAGGATCACAGCAAGTCTGAGCTGCATAGTGAGACCCTGTGTCAAATGTAATTTTGAAGCTTTTACTTCGCCAGACTTGACCATTATTCTGCATCTCTGAAATTGTTCATGTCATGTCATTTAGGAGGCATGTATAATCACAGTGTCTCATTTGTTGTTCATTGTGTCTCCCATTCCCCAGTGTACTCTGTAAGATTCGCTGGAAGAGAAAGTCGGCTTGAAGAACCTTTTGCGACTGACATCTATGAGATTGTTGATGAAATTGCTTGTGCTTTGGTGCCAATGGCCCAGGATAAACCATTTGCATTTTTTGGCCATAGGTATTTAAATTTTGTTTTAAAAGACATGGGGGGGTGTCCTTTTTTGTTGGCTTTTTTTTTTTTTTTTTTTTTTTGTACTGGGGATCAAATCTAGGGCCTTGCACTTGCCAGCCAGGTGCTTATGCCGCTGAGCTATCTTCCTGGCCCCGGGTGTGTGTGTGTGTGTGTGTGTGTGTGGTGGTAGTGGGGAGTCCTTAATCAAAATTCATGGGTAATGTTGTTCTTTGTATTTTGCGAGATGCAAACCTTTTGTATTGCGTAAACAGCATATCTTATTAGTACATGTGTGCAGTACATAATGATTGCATTCACTGTGGAGAATTAGTACATGCACATGACACATCTCAATGCTTCCCCCTCCTTCTCCCACATAAACAGCATATTGAATAATTATGACCAATCACAACTCTTCCAGCTCTCCAAATTTTACAGTAGTTGTACCTTTTTTTTAAAAACCCATTAGGCAAAATAGCCAAGATTTATAAAACCAAGACTCATTCTGTTTATTTATAAAATTATTTGTGAGGCTTAATTGAAAAGTGATCATAAATAAACTTAGTATGTAGTAAGAAACTCAGTAAGTGTTACCTACTATAATATACAATTTTTATAAATGTGGGAAAACAAAATTGCACAACAGAAGGGCTCATCATCCTACCACTCAGATTACAATCCTTTAAACAACTTTAGTACATGTTTGTCATGCATATTGATCACATTTATTACAAGGAATTTGTACCTATACATAGCACATTTTAATTCTTTTTTTATTATTCCCCTCTCCTCCCTTCAACCCTTTTTCCTCTCTCAATTTACTTTTGTGATACCTTAGTATTTCTACATGATGGGATCCTGTGTTATATATTTGCCCGAATTTTGTTACTTAAATATCATTGTGAAACATCTTTCACAGCTTGAAAATATCCATTGTTTCCTTATCTGCATAGCAATTACCTCTTTTTTCTCTTCAATGAACATTCTTTTAGAAAGTTAGTATAAATCTCTTGTGTTCTTAAAGAATTCCAATAATTTAGATAAATGATATGTACATTGTTAAAGCCCTTGATAAATATTTCCAAATTACCTGTACTCCCTACTCCATCAGTAACAGACAGAAGACTGAGTTGCCATTGTTTTCACGGGGTATATAAATATACAACTTTCAAGTGAATAACTTTCGGGGGTTTTATCTACACAATACATCTATACAATAGCTACAGCAGGTCACAAAACTTTCAATTCCAGTTCCTCATTATTACTCTTATCATATGTGTGACATATCTATTCAATATTTAACACATTAGAAAACAAAACTATAAAAACTTTAAAATATTGGATTACAAACTTGTCTAAAA